ACTAGAGGGAAGGCAGCTAGTCACCACCACCCACCGCCAACTCTTGGGCCACTCTTTTACCAACGAATAGTGGGATTGACCGTCACTTATAACGCCCCCACGGCTGAAAGGGCGAGCATGTTTGGTTTGACGGGGATTCGAACCCGCGACCCTCACATTGCGAATCGAGCGCCCTAACCACCTGGTCATGCCGGGCCGACTTTCTTGGATCAACAGAGTTATCAAGCGCTGTTATAATTATAATAAATTATAAATAAATTATAATAAATAAATAAATAAATAAAAAACGTTTTAATCGTAAAAGTGCAAATGCAGAATCATATCCAAAGTTTTTTGTGATTTCATAGAAATGCATTTGAATCGATTAAAATTAAATTCGCTGGTTAAAATGAATAAATTATATGAAGATGATCAAACATTTTCCATCGAAACTTCTATATAAGTGAATTAATTATTAGCTAAAAGAATAATACAATATACTTGTTTCTTACAATGATATGACTTAACGCACTCATTGGTAATGTTGCCATGCATCGATCAAACAGTTTTACGCTGGAGAACTCAACGTTTATTTTGACAACGAAGATAATACTACCAGTCTAAATTTTAAAGTCACATACACTTATCATTATTTTGGATCAGTGCCAAAAGGTTTCCGTACTTAGCTCATCAAGCTTTTTGCGTGACTATGCGCTTCAAACGAAACGAAGCTGTTGCAAATAAAACGGTTAAACTTTTGACTCGAAGAACACTTCCAACAAAACATCATTTTTGAAAAGAAAGCTTGTCATCTTGAAATATTGTTGAAAAAAAAAGAACAAAATACAACTTCTCATAAACAATAATATGTTTTCTGGCATGTTTTGGCAGATATCACGAGGCCAGTAGTAGAATTATCGTGAAATATAGCCGGTTTGACATTTGATCTCGACCCTGCATCAAGATGTCAACCTTCACTTGGCACAGTTTGTTTGTAATTAAGCACAAAGCTACACATTGGGTTATCTGTGCTCTGCCCACCACGGGTATCGACCCCGGATTATAGCGTTGTAAATCCGCAGACATACCGCTGTGCCACTGGGGGCCACTCGGCACAGACATGTTGGTTAATCTTGTAAACCAAAGAGATTATTCCTTGAGACCAGAACTAACCCTTTGGGTAATCCATCAGGCTTGGTTTGGTTTAAATTTCGCGTAAAGCTACTCGAATGATAGGTTAGAGGGCTGATTCAGAGTCAGATTGTTTTGTTGAACTTCGCACAAAGCTATTCGAAGGCTATCTGCACTAGCTATCCTTAATTCGGCAGTGATAGACCAGAAGAAAGGCAGCAAGTCAACACCACCCACCGCCAACTCTTGGGTTATTACCAACGAATAGTGGGATTGACCGTAACTTTATAACGCCCCCACGGCTGAAAAAGCATGTTTGGTGACAGGGATTCGAACCCGCGTCTCTCAGGTTGCGAGTCGAGCGCCTTAACAGCCAGGCCATGCCAGGTTTAATCCATCATCCAAACCAAATGAAAAATGAGTGGATAAAGATGAATATTATGAGCTGTGAAACAATAATTGCTGAATCCGTATTTAGATCAAAAGTACAACTAAAGATGATGCATTCATTACGTAAGAAATAAAATAATGTGTGATGACTCATAAAAACGCTAGATTGGGTGTTTGTGTACCACTGGTATTTTATTAAAAGCCAAATTATCCATTTAAAGATACAAACGTAAATTAAAAAATGAGAACAATTTTGAATAAATTGCATTTGGATCCAGGAGTACTTGATGTGGGCGAAAGACTCACGAATTTCCTAGCGTGGATGAAATTTTCGTAAACCAAACTATGATTTTTCTCTTTACTTCGATGATCACTGTCCATTAAAACTGCCCCCAGTGGCACAGCGGTATATCTGCGGACTTACAACGCTAGAAACCGGATTTGGATACCCGTGGTGGGCAGAGCACAGATAGCCCATGGTGTAGCTTTGTGCTTAATTGCAAAAACAAAACAACAAAAAAAACATCACAATTACTTGTTTTGTTAAATTTTGAATTATATTTTTATTCAACATTTACAGATTTGGAATAGAAGTTAAATTTAACAAGAAAGTTTGTAAACACTTAAAAACAAATAGATAAAAAGTTCTTCGGATCAACTTGACCCCCCAAGGAAATATCGAGTTTTTTGTTGTTGCTTTTTAAATAGAATGATTGCAGAATATACTGTTATCGAGAGGGTAAGTTAAATTTCCTCTTATTTACTTTATTTAAAAGAATTCTATTGGAAAATTGATAAAGCTGTGTACCACGATAAGTACCTCTCGAGGAGTGAGTAAAATCCTATACCGATTAGCATTCAAAATCCTTCATCCAAAACCTTTGAAGAAGTTAATTTGGGGCTTAATATAACCTACACTATCCACAACTCTAGAAAATAAAACTGATCTATAAATTGACAAGTAACCCCCCATCATTAGGTGAAATTTTAAAGTTGTGTGATTACTTCTTCATAATTACGATTCGTGTGTAAGCACTTTCCCTTGTTAGAACTTTGGCACAACTTTAAATTCAACTTATCCTGTCGATAAATTGTGTAGCCCTCTTAAAAATCTGACGTTCTGACAACCTTAAAACTACGTAACAATGGCTTGATATTAATAAATTTTACAGAAAGTTTTACAGTGTAAAACAAAGAGAAATTGAAAAGACAAAACAGATATGGTTCCAATATATTAGGCGTAATAATTTTAGTTGAGTGAAAAACTGGAATTTACGTTTACAGCTGCTCTCACGGGGATAAAATATAATATCATAGTCGCTGTACTCAACATACGTGTCGTTTGTAGGCTATTCACTCTCTTTAGATTGCAGGATCAAAATACTCTTACGGTTGGTAGTAAAACGTTCAAACCGCGTGGACGCGTGGCGCCAACATTCCATTATATTACAACTCGTCCAGTGGAGAAATAAAATGTATATTTCCCCGTAAATTTCTCATCTATGACATTTTTCTGCATATCACAGCTTTTACGACGGCAATGTCTCCCAACTGCGTAGTAAATCACCATGTTGAGACAAAACGCGCAGTTCGCCCAGAATGAGAAATGCTAAAATAGTTAAATTTGACAACAAAGCTTTCGTAAATATTCACTTTCCAATACATTGAATGCATGCGCACTAGCTGTCAAACATATTACTGATTATTATTTATTTGTTTAATTTAGCACAAAACTACTCAAGGGCCTTTCTAACCCAGCTGTCTCTAGTTTTGAAATGATAGACTAGAGCAGTGGTTTCCAACCTGGGGTGCGATATCCAATGCTTGGGGGTGCGAGGATGGGTCCAGAAAAACAACTTTTTTTTGTTCATTTGCCGTTGCCGTTTTTTACTAAATAATTCGTCTAAATTCGGGAGCAGAATATTGATTACGATCTTCAATTAATTCACTATTGTGATTCTTTCTTCCTGTTTTAAATTTTTTTATTAAACGTACGCCTACTATTTACGTCTCATGATAATTTTTGTATTTTCAGAGATCCATAATGGCGAAGAAAAAAAGTGGAACGATGATTACTATCGTTTTGGTTCACATGCACAACTGAGAGAAGTGGGACAGAAAGACCTCAATGTTTTTTATGTTTAGTGATATTTTCTAATGCAAATTTGAAACCTTCTAAACTCAACAAACATTTCAACAGAGGACATGGTGGTAGAGAAGCACGATGAAGAATTACTGAAGGTGAAGAAGGTACGTTTTTATCGTCTAGGAACTCTGCCAAAGTTAGGATATGTGCCAACTGAAAAGCCTATTCTTGAAGCATCCTATCAAGTTGTGTATTAAGTGGCCAACGCCAAAAACCTTATACCATCGCTGAAGAGTTAGTGAAGCCATGTATCCTTGAAGTTGTTAAGACCATTCTGGGGAAAGATGTGGAAAGGAAGGTGCAACAAGTACCAACGTCTCTAACAATGTCATCAGAAACAAAATAATTGATATGAGCGAGGACATCTTGGAACAGTTGATTACTGATATGAAGGCGACTCCTGTAAAAATATCATTGCAATTGGAGGAATCTACAGATGTTTCCCATTGTAGCCAACTGATTGCTCTTGCTCGTTATGTCAAGAATGAAGAAGTATTAGAACACATTCTATTTTGTGAACCACTGAAGACCACCACAAAAGGCCAGAACGTGTTCGACCTCATAAAATAATTTTTCTTAAAACATGGATTGGACATGAACATCGTTGGTTCCATATGTACAGATGGCGCTCCTGCTATGCTAGGAAATCAGTCTGGATTTGCAGCCCTCATGAAACGGGAAATTCCTGAGGTCCGTGTCACACACTGCCTGCTTCATTGGTGTGCATTAGCAGGGAAGACTTTACCAAAAAGTCTGCAAGATGTTTTATCAACATGTGTGAAAATTGTTAACGTAATTGGAGGACGTTCACTGAACCATCGTTTATTTCAAGCGTTTTGAGAAAGCATGAATTCTGAACACACGGTTCTACTGTACCACACGGAGGTGAGATGACTATCCCATGGGCGTGTCTTGCAGCGTATATTTGAGCTTCGTGAGAAGATCAAGACATTTTTAAAAGATCAAAAGTTGGATCTCTTTTCTTCATTTGATTCCCCAGAGCTTGTGCATATGCTAGCATACTTGACTGACATATTTACTCACTTAAATGAACTAAATATTTCCCCCCAAGGAAGTAATAAAAACGTGGTTATTGCACATGAAAAATTGGATTCCTTTAAAGCTAAAATTCCTTTGTGGTTGAGAAATATTGAGAAGGGAAATTTGGCTAGGTTTCCATCGCTGGAAGAAGTTGTTGAAGAACACGAGTCATTACTTCCAGAAGTTGCCACAGCAATACGCATTCACCTTGAACAGCTAGCTATTAAATGACTTTGATGGTTATTTCTCTGCAGGAAATTTGGAAGCCAGCGACCGTTGGATAAGGAACCCGTTTCTGTTTCAGTTAAGCGATATGCCTGACGTAGATCCTTTCAGGGAGGGAATAATTGACATACAAAATGATCATGCTGCAAAAATGGAGTTCGAAGTGAAGACTTTGGAAAATTTTTGGGCATCACAAATAACAAGATTCCCAAACATTTCCAAGAAAGCACTTACTGTACTTGTTCCCTTCGCAACAACATATCTTTGCGAAGTAGGGTTTTCGACTCTTCTTCATGTGAAAAGCAAGTTTCGAAATCGCTTCGAAGCTCAGCACGACATGCGCATCGCTCTCAGCAAAATGGAACCACGTATTCCAGACGTAATTGCGAAGAAACAAGAACAAATGTCACATTAATAAGATTTGATATGAGTTTTCGATACTATGTACATCTAACTTGTGTGAAAATAAATTTTTCTGACTCATGATAACGTTGTTTTTTTTCTGGCAAACTCACACACACAGGCACACAGACACAGACACACACACGGACACACACATATATATAAATTTTTCTGACTCATGATAACGCGTTTTCTTTTCTTTTCTGGCAAACTCACACACACAGGCACACAGACACAGACACACACACGGACACACACATATATATAAATTTTTCTGACTCATGATAACGCGTTTTCTTTTCTGGCAAACTCACACACACAGGCACACAGACACAGACACACACACGGACAC